AAATCAAACTGTGAAAGGTGGTGGGCCTATGAATCATTAGAAACCGCACCCTCGTCTTTCTTTCAGCCTCTAAACCTTGACGAGGGAGACAGGAGTAGGTCTCAAGAAGAGTCTCCACATAAAAGGAGCCTCGTACAGGGAGCAGTGGGCCTGTGGAGTGTGGCTAAGGCATGAGAGGATCATAGCGACAAAGCCACGGCTTGAAAACAGTAACCCAGTTTAAGTGGCTATTGCCAACATCATAGTCAAGATGGGCCACCGACTCACACACTCCTCCGCAACCACTCCTGACATTAAGTAGCAACCACTAACCACCCCTGCCTTCCCTCCTCTATCAGTCCGCTAATAAATATATCAGACAAATTAAAAATCCCTTGTGTAAAAGCTCGAAAACTCTCTGCCTCATAGAAATTCAAAACAAGGACCCATCGTCATCATCATCATCATCAAATAGCCAACCGAATACATTTTCTCGCACACTTTTGGTGGTCATGTGTACTCGTACCAAAAAAAGGTAGGCGCTTGCATAGCCTTACCTCATGCTCTTCAAGTTCTCCTTGAACAAAAGCACCGAGCTTTCACACTTGTTTAAAGATAGATGTTCTCTTTGGCACATAATCCTCATCTTAGAGCTAAAGAATCTCCTCGAGGCACACTCAATTCCTCCAAAAGAATATGTTCTTAGCTTCACATCTTTTATCCTCTAGATCCTCAATTGAAGCAAGAATGTCTTTATAAGGGCAACCAGTTTTTAGCAGTTACTCATGAGAAGGTCTTGTTCTTGAACACCTCCGTCTGCTAGAATGTGCAGATTTCTATTTGAAGTCAAACAAAAAGATGGCTTTGCAATATATCCACCTCCTGTATCACCTTCCTCATCAGTCTCATCTCCATACAATGGTCTCAACTATGAAAAAGAATCAACCCCGCCATCATCTTCTCTTAACAAAATTAGTCCCGTGCTTCTTTTGGTTATAGTAGTCCTTGCTGTTATTTTCTTTGTTTCTGGTCTTCTTCATTTGCTTGCTAGATTCCTCCTCAAGAGGGCATCTTTTTCCCCAATTTATCATTCCAATAGGTTCCAAGAAACCTCAGGGTCTCATTCTATTCAAAGACAGCTTCAACAGCTGTTTCGCTTGCATGATTCGGGTCTAGACCAAGCTTTCATTGATGCTCTACCTGTGTTTTACTACAAAGATATCATGGGTTCAAAGGAGCCATTTGACTGTGCAGTTTGTCTCTGCGAGTTCTCAGGCCAGGAAAGGCTGAGGTTGCTTCCTCTATGTAGCCACGCTTTTCACATTGACTGTATAGATACCTGGCTTCTCTCAAACTCAACGTGCCCTCTGTGTAGAGGAACCCTTTTAGGCTCTAGTTTTCACATGGAAAATCCACTGTTCAATTTTGATCTCTCAAGGGAATTATCAAATGGATTCTCTAGTGAAGGAGAGAGTGGATCTTCCAATTGTCAAAAATCAGTTACTACTGTGGAGGACAAAGGTGTTGGTGAAAAGAGGGTATTTTCAGTGAGACTGGGCAAGTTTAAAAGCTTGAATGGTGGAGAAGGCAGTGGACAGAAACAGCATGGAGAGTCCAGCAGGTCTAATTTGGATGCTAGAAGATGTTACTCACTGGGAACAGTTCAGTATGTGGAAGGTGAATCAAGTTTGCAAGTGGCCATGTCTCCTGGTAACCTTAATTGCAGAGGAAGAGATAAAGGATGCCCTTCAATTGATGGGGATTTGGAAGGTAAGAAAATCAGAGGTAGGACAGGAGGCGATAGCTTCTCAGTTTCCAAGATATGGCTTTGGTCCAAGAAGAGCAAATTCCCAACGTCTTCAACTACTCACATGGATATGTCTTCTTCTACTTCCTTTGCTGTAAGTTTACCAATCAATGCTAATAGAACTGGAACTGTAAGAGATATATAACTACTACTCACTCACTAAAATGTTTTCCCCTTTCTGATTAATCAAGTAATTATATACTGGCCAAAATCTGTATATATTTTCCTCTACTGTGATTTTTTTAGTTATATATTTATATTTATTACCCATTTGAAAATTGTCGAACACAAGACTGCAGTCGATTTTATGACGAATTTGAGATAAAAATGTTGCCTGAGAGATGTGAAGGGGGTCAGCTGTGAAGCGATTACTCATCAGCAAGTTTTAGGCACCTAGATCTATGTAATCTCGAAAGCCGAAGACCAGAATTGCCTTGGTTTGGTTCACAGAAACTGTAACAAGTTATGGTTAAAATATCCAATTTCTATAATTTTATTGCCTCCGAGGTGAATTGCTTGCTTAATCTACTGATCCCCCTTCAATCTCCTTTACTTGATAAAAGCTGAGAACCTTGGAATGAGTGAATAGCCTGAAAAAATGGATACTGACATGAGACTGCAACTGTTCAATAAACGCAGCAGTGCCCCCACAATATTCTCTTGCAGTCGCCCCAGCTCTGATGCAAATTTCCATGAGAAATATCACGACTTCCAAAATGAATGAGCTGGGTGGGGTTCTCCGCGAAATTCTAGTATTCTCCAATGCAGAGAGAGAGAGAGAGAGAGATTCACCATTACCAGCAGCAACCAAAAACCTTAACGCGAACAAGAAAAATGGCCTCCAGCTTTTCTTCATGGCGGGTGGCCAATCCTTGACATGAACAAATTAGGATCACTGGGGGAGAAAGCACCCAAATTTTAATGATAATCACAATACCTCTGCCATCTAAATTCACTGTGTATTGTATTGTAAAATGAACTTCAAAATAAAAAAAGAAATTTGCATAGGGGATTTAGAACTTGAGTAGGAGTCAGGAGTACTACTACCCTACCTGCTAGCCATATTCGTGCATGTCATTGTCTTCTTTGTTCACTGATAACTAACAGATCATGACAAACCCTGAGATGATAAATTTAAGATTTAACCTGGTTTAAGACTCGGATTTCAAGTTTTTATTAGATTATTGAGTTTTGATTGGGTTAGTAGATTGATTAAATTAATTTTTTTTAAAAAAATATTAAAATAATATCATTCAAAAAAAATTAACAAATTTATAATTAATTTTTAATTAAGTTTTGTCAAGTCAACAATAAAATAATATCATTTAAAAAAAAAATAATAAATTTATAATTAATTTTTAATTAGGTTTTGTCAAGTCAACCTGTCATATTAGTCGAGTCATACTGAGTTTTTTATTTCTTTAATTTGGCACGATTCTAGTCTCAAGTCAACTAGGTTTCAAATTCGACCAGGTTTAAAACTCTCTCCAAAACCCACTCCTATATTTATCTTTTTTTTATGAAAATTTCACTTTTTTATGAAAATTTCACTTTTTATATATGAATTCATATTTTCTTGTATATAGGCTTTTGTATTTTTTTGGACAAAAATACCTTATAACTACCAAAAGAAAAACTAATCTTGAAAAGCCTAGAAAATTGAAAAATTAACTAAAAAAAAATAAAAAAGCATTGAAAAGAAAAAACACCAAGCATATATGTTTTAAAACCTAAAAAAAGATGAATTTGAAAAGCCTAAAACATAATAACTTGTAAAATCTAAAAAACAACAAAATAAGTTTTGTAGGACATGGGTTTTTAAATTTTTTCATAAATTACCAAAAAAAAATTTAATATTTTTTAAGGGTCATTTCAAATTTTTTTGGGTGTTCAGAGTTTATAGGTTTTCTGATTTTTTTCTAGTTTGTTTAATTTTTTATATACATTTCCTACATTTTTTGAGTTGTTATCTTCTTAAGAAAAAAAATTTGTATGATTGAATATTTTTTTGTGGCTTAACAACATTTTTGTAAAAAAAAACATTAGTAAAAATATTTATGGGAAAAACTATGAAAATTCAAGAATGTAAGAGTGAAAAATTCTAAAAATGGTTCATGGAGGGATACATTACTTCATTTCTTTACCTACCACACAAGGTTGTTGAAGATGAAATGGCCAGCAGGAATAAATCATTTGTTTTAAAAACATTGACTTATTAATGCAAAGGATTCCCTTATTCAATAGATAAATTGAATAAGTAAATGAGTTGTTTATTTTATATTCTAATTTCAAAAAAAAAATTAGAGTGAAAACATAAAATACTAAGACTTTCTGTTCAAATACCATATTTTATAATCTAAAAAACCTAGTTAAGCTATCATCAAATTATCTTATTGATAAAGGGAACACATTAAGCAAATTAAAGAAATAGATGGATTATTTTAGAATACAATAATGCTCTAAGTTTCTAAAAAACTATAGTCATAAAAAGAAAAAAAAAACTTTTTATTCAAATGTAATATTTCCCTGTCTAAAGAACTCGAAATTAGGTTTTTTTATTTTATTTTTTTAAATTTATACTAAATTTGAAATATATATTTTAGATTTTTTTTCACTTTTCAATGCAAGTTTTTCATTATATTTAAAATGAAGAGAAAACATGTATAATATAATTCTTCTTATATATAAGATTTTTTTATTTTAATTTGAAATACAATATAAATATTTCTTTGAGTTAATAATATAACTATTTTATGTTAAGTTTTAATTTAATTTAATTTAAATAAATATTTATAATTACATTGTCATGAATATAAAATATTTATTATAAATTATGATTTTTAGTTTCTATAAAAACATATTTATAATCTAATATTCTTTTATTTTTCTCAGTGAAAAAATTTGATTTTATTTATAATAAACGAATAATTTTTTAATTTAAAAAAAAATGGAGAAGGAAAATAGTTTTCTCAGCGAACACACCAGCTATTCTTTTATTAAAAGAAATAAAAATAAAAAGATAGGGACTCAAAACAGGCACAGAGAAATAAAAACCTGTTTGTTTTCAGTTTTGATTTTTTTTTTTTAAAAAAAAATAGTTTTTTATTATTTTATTAATATAAAAAAATTAATATATTTTTAAATAAAAAAATATTTTTAAAAGCAATAATTAAGACAATAACTAACGGCCGGTAAGTAGTTAAAATAAATTCACGCTTCTTCCTTCTTAGCGATTGCTCTCTCTGTCTCACTCGCTCAGATTCTTTTAAAAGCCACCAAAACCCTCTCCTCTCTAACTATGGAAGTGGCAGCAGAGAGACCCTCAGTTCGTGTAACAAACATCCCGCAAACAATCACAGCCCAAGAAATCTTACAGTACCTCGTAGCCCAACTCGGCAAAGATTCTGTCTTTGCCATAGAAATCTCCACGGTACGGAAAAACTGGAATTCCCGTGGCTTTGGCCGAGTCCAATTTGCTTCCCTCGAGGTTAAACACGAGGCACTCTCTCTCTCTCTACAGAACAAACTCGTCTTAAAATCCCAGAATCTCAAGTTATCAGAAACCTGTGATGACATCATTCCCAGGCCAGTCATGGACCAAAATAGAATGGAAAATGGGGTTTTGTATGCGGGTTTTATGAAAAAAGACACTACATTGTGTGTTCTTGAGTACTGGGAAGGTGTGAGAGGGTGGTTTATGCCTGAGAGGCGGAGGATTGAGTTTTGGATTCGGGTAGGGCAGGAGTTCCGTTATAAGTTAGTGGTGGAGTTTGAGGATATCTTGGAGGCTGTTGGGTTCCCTTTGGATGGTGACAAGGTTAACGCTGTCGTTTTAAAGGTATGGTTTTTATGGGTTTTGTTTGGATTAGGAGAGAAATTAATCTGGTAATGCCATTTTACACGGAGTATGATGTTGATTTGCTTGCATTTGCATGTTGAATTTTTTTTACGTTTTTATCTTTGTGGAGTTCCTCGCACAATTGTTGAACAGAAGTTCTTGGTGTGGAGTTTAAATGAAACAATAGGTTGTCATTTAGGAAGATTAGATGGGCATGTAAGACATGCTGTATTGAGCACACTTGTATTTTTGTTGAAAGACTGGGTATTCTATCTACACTACCTTCACTAATCGAAGTAGATAGGGTGAATGATTTTGAGTATTGTAGGGAGTATTTTAGGGTTGATACACTTACAAAAAGTGGCATAATGCCCTCATCGATACCTTTTAATTGTTTCTGCAAAATATGGACTTGAATATGGAAGTTTACAAGAAGAAAAAAATTCAAGCTTTGAGGTGGTGTTAGATTAGATTCTGACTAAAGATTCAAGCTTTACCAAAATTTTATTTTGTTGGAATGGGGTTATGAGGAAAAGAAAGTGGCCTGTGCTTTTACAAATGCTATGGCCCTATATGGAACCAGCATAAAGTTTCTCCACCCATCTTCGAATAGTAGGATAATGTTTCCGTGTCAAATGGATCCGAATTAATGCCACCAATTTTGTGCAGCCTGTTGTAAATGCAAGATAATCATAGCAGCAAAATGTCAATTTGAACGCATCCTTACCCAAGCTCCAAAAGTGAACACTGTCTCAGACTTCGAATCGAGGTTTTGGAATTGGGCCTCAGTGAATTTCCAGTTTACCAGAATTGTATGCTATACTGAATGGTCATTGCATATTAGATTGCATGAAGCTGTGCTCAACCAAGTGATGAAGATTTTTATTTCTCTGTAAACCCAAGAAAAATTTGTGACGTGTGACAGGAAAAGAAATACTCCTCTCCTGTGCAGAAATATTCCTCCCTGCTCTCTGTTCTGGTTTAACTAGTTTTCTTATTGGAAATCTGACTTTATATCAGTTACTCTTCTTCTGTTTATTGTGTTACTTGGGTGATGTCGTAACCTAGATTGTATGTTTTCAGCTCAGGTATGGACCAAGGATCTATCAAAAAATCTCTGGACCTGGCATAGCTTCGAAATTTAGCACTAATCGGTATTTTTACTGCAAGGAAGACTTTGACTTTCTTTGGGTTCGAACAACAGACATTTCTGCCATAAAATCAATTGGACAGTCGACGTCATTTTGTTGGGAAATTGGAGAAGGATTAGAGGCTTCAGATACTTTTAGAAATTTCCCATATTATCAAGAATTTATGAACATACTTGATTTGGAGGATGGGGAAGAATTTCGTTCTGCTTCGGAAACAGTTCCACTCATAAGATGTGGATCAGATAAGTTAGCATATGAGGTCCTTTTCCAGCTGAATTCTCTTGTTCATACTCAAAAAATTAGTCTTGCTGCAGTGGACAGTGATCTCATGAAGATCCTTCGCAATCTGACTGTAAACACTGCTTTTATAATTCTTCAGAAATTGCACAAGTTAAAGATGACCTGTTATGATCCCTTGTCTTTTGTAAAGCAAAGCCTTAGAGAATCTCTCTCATCACCACCCAAGAGCTTAACAGAGAATAATATAATGAGTTGTCATAGGGCCTTAATTACACCATCAAAGATTTTTTGTTTGGGTCCTGAGTATGAAACCTCCAACTATGTTGTGAAACACTTTGCTCAATACGCTTCAGACTTTATAAGAGTTACTTTTGTTGAAGAAGATTGGAGTAAACTTCCTGCGAATGCAATTTCAACGAGTATCCAGCGAGGTATTTTCGCAAAACCTTTCAGAACTGGAATATATCATAGAATATTGTCCATTCTTCGAGATGGGATTGTGATTGGAGCTAAAAGGTTTGAGTTTCTGGCGTTTTCTGCTAGTCAATTACGATCCAATTCTGTTTGGATGTTTGCTTCTAACAATGATGTGAAAGCAGAAGATATTAGAAAATGGATGGGTTGCTTTGACAAGATACGCAGTGTGTCCAAATGTGCTGCCAGGATGGGTCAGTTGTTCAGTTCTTCTTTGCAAACTTTTGTTGTTCCTGTGCAAGATGTAGAGATTATTCCTGACATTGAAGTCACTACTGATGGCATTGACTACTGCTTTTCTGATGGAATTGGCAAAATTTCTCTTTCTTTCGCCAAGCAAGTTGCTCACAAGTGTGGATTGAGTCATACTCCATCAGCATTTCAAATTCGGTATGGTGGCTATAAGGGGGTGGTTGCTGTTGACCGCAATTCCTTCCGGAAGCTATCTTTGCGTAGTAGTATGCTAAAATTTGACTCAGAAAACAGGATGCTCAATGTCACTAAATGGAGTGAGTCCATGCCTTGCTATTTGAATCGGGAGATCATTTCTCTCTTGTCTACATTGGGAGTGGCAGATGAAATATTTCAGGCTTTGCAACAGAAACAGTTGTATCAGCTCAGAAAAATGCTAACTAATAAAGAATCAGCTTTAGATGTCTTAGAGAATTTGGTGTGGGCTGATTCCAAGAATATTCTTGTACAAATGTTGCTTCAAGGCTACGAGCCCAATGTGGAACCTTACCTCTCAATGATGCTTCAAGCCTATCATGAAAATTCATTGATGGAATTAAGAAGCCGATGTCGAATATTTGTCCCAAAGGGTCGCATCCTGATTGGCTGCCTGGATGAAAGTGGTACCTTAGACTATGGACAAGTTTATGTTCGCATAACCATGACAAAAGCAGAGCTGCAATGTTCGGACCAGAGCTTCTTTCGGAAGGTAGATGAGTCAACATCCATTATAATAGGGGAAGTGGCTGTCACCAAGAATCCTTGTCTTCACCCAGGAGACATTAGAGTCCTTGAAGCAGTCTATAATGTGGAACTGGAGGAGAAGGGCTTGGTGGATTGCATTATCTTCCCCCAGAATGGAGGAAGGTATGTTTAGATCTTTTGAGGTGCCATCTATTAACATTTTAGTCCAGTGCTTTCATGTGTGATATGTTTAATGGTCATTTATCAGATACCACTGCTCATCAGGCATTGCAAAAATGTTTAATATTTTCATGAATTTATCTTTTGGTCACAATGTTGTGTTAGCAGTTGTACAACTTTAGGTCTTGAGATGATGAGGAACACATCTGGTTCAGGTCCATGGTCTGTGGACTCCATGAATAGGCACATCCTTGATTTTGAGGTTAGAAGGGTTAATTTTTCATTTCTTTTTTAGAGGAAAAAATACAAAAAACATATAAAAGTAGGAGATGCTGGATGCCAAGGAACAGTTTATTTTTTTATTTTAAAATTTTGGTATCCTCTTCTTGGTCTGCCTATTGTAACCATCAGTAGTTAACCTGACCTTTATGGGGAAGCTTTTCCAAAATTAAAGTCCATGCAATCATGTTTTTCATGAACCTTTTCCCCTTGACTCTGGTTTTTATGTCAATAAAGATGCTCCAATAACTGCACATATATTTCTTTTCTGACAGATGCAGCTTCGTTTCTACTCAACAGCATCCTCATGAACTCTTTCTAGTAAAAGGGCAAAGGATTTCTACTTAAACTCCATTTTATCATGCATCATCATTGAGCATTTTTCATTTGCAATGCAATAATATTCAACTTCTGTTATCTGGATGTGTTTAAAGTAATTTGTAAATAGGGAGGAAGTGGCAGTGGATTCTTTAGTAAATGGATAGTTTACTAAAAGAAATTGTACACAGGCCTCATCCAAATGAATGCTCTGGTGGTGATCTTGATGGGGATCAATTTTTCATAAGCTGGGATGAAGGTCTTCTCCCTTGTCATACTGAAGCCCCAATGGACTACGTTGGAGGGAGACAACGAATAGTGGATCACAATGTGACTTTAGAGGTATTTCAACTTGCATTATGAAATTGGTAATAAACTGGCACTCTCTATAATCTTAATTCTTTCAATGATTCTTAAACCGACAAAATGTTTTTCTTGCTGACTTTTCAGGAAATTCAGAGATTTTTCGTGGATTATATGATCAACGACACTTTGGGTGCCATCTCTACTGCCCATTTAGTGCATGCTGACTGTGAACCAGATAAAGCCCGAAGTGAAAAATGTCTGCAGTTGGCAACCCTCCACTCCATGGCAGTTGACTTTGCAAAGACCGGAGCGCCAGCTGAGATGCCCCTGTATTTGAAGCCAAGGGAATTTCCAGATTTCATGGAGAGAGTAGAAAAGAAAATGTACATATCTGATGGGGTACTGGGAAAACTCTATCGAGACATCCATGATTCAACAAGACAAGAAAGGTCAAAAAAGATGGCTGAAGCAACTTATGACCAAGATCTTGAAGTGAAAGGTTTTGAGGATTTCCTTGGAATCGCATCAATCTATAAGGAGAAGTATATGGAGAAAATGAGCACATTAATGGATTATTATGGGGCTAAAACTGAGGATGAGATACTGACAGGTAATTTGCGACACAGGCCAACGTATTTGCAACGTGACAACAGAAAATACGGAGATGTGAAAGATAGAATTCTAGTGTCGCTGAAGAACCTGAAGAAGGAAGCTAAAGAATGGTTTGAGAGCAGCTGCGACCCTACTGAGCACCAGTGCATGGCTTCAGCATGGTATCACGTTACTTACCATCCTACTTATTTCCATGAAAGGATGAATTGCTTGAGCTTTCCATGGATTGTAGGTGACATTTTGTTGAACATAAAGTCTTTGAATAGAAGAAATGCCTGAACGTGTTCACAGGTTCTTGATTGTAATGTTTTATTTAGAAGCCTTACCTTACAGGTCCATAACTGGGGCCATTTTGGTAAGTTGCTGGCTTTGGCTTTTGGCTGTGGATGTGGTGGTTAGGATTACCAGTAACTGTATCTGTTTGGATGTGCAAATATGAATATACTTGTAGAGAATTAATGGTTACATTTTCTAATTCTATTGTCAAAAAATACTGGTCAAGAACTCCATTTTGGCTCTCTGTCCAGAGCGTAGTCTTGGACTAGAAAAGAAGTCAGTTAAAAATTAATCAATGGTGATTGAAAGAGTTCAAAGGATTAAAACTTTGGAAAAAATTATTTATTTATTAAAAATCCTAATTTCTTATTTATTCATTTTGTTCATGTGTTGACAAAATTTTTTTATTCATTTTGTTCATGTGTTGACAAAAAAAATTTATTAATAATATGTTTTTGGATTGCGAACACCAAAACTTCAACTTATAATAATAATAAAATATATAGAAAAAACATTGGGAATAATAATCTCATTCCCAGTCTTAAGATAGCCTTTAACCAGTATTGCATTACAATAAAAACCTTAAAAACCCTAATCTAAAAGGAAAATTATCAGCCTTTAAGTAGCTGTAATGTGGCTAGCCAAAATCCTTTTCTCTATTATCTTTTCTCCTTTCTTACTATTTAAAGACCAAAACACAAGGAAAACAAAATTGTTAAACCTATTCTAGATAGTAACTTTTTCTAATCATAACTTTATAATAAAATTCAAAATTCTTTCAATTTAAAAAGACGGGTTTGTCATTTGATATAGTACACGTCATAACATATATAATAAAACTTCTTTCAGAATATTAAAAGTTTCTCCATACAAAATATAGAAGAAAAAAAAATCAAATTTAAATTATCTTAAAGTTTAAGGTTATCTTGCTTTTTATAAAGTTTTAGATTCTAAAATGATAAAATTGGGATCTAGAACTTTAAAAAGCAATTTTATTGATTATTCTGAAAATTCACAAGCACTACAATACTATATTCAATTTCTAATATAATTGTGGAATCTAGAGATGTTGAGTATATTAAAAAAAAATTTTAAATTGATTCTACTTTAATTAGTGAATGAATCAATATTTTTAAAATTGAAATAGAATAAACAAATATTGCAGGTTTTTATCCAAGTTTTAGAAATAAAAGAATTTAAATGGATCATCCTATTGAACTTCGAAGAAGCCATCGTACTAGAAAAGAAAAGACTTTACATCCATTTATATATCTTTAGAAATCATTGTTTTCTTAATTTAAGGCAATAAAAATGATGATTTTACAAATATATTAATCTTATTAATAATAGAAGATAATCCTAAAACATTCGAAGAAGTAATGATGTCTTTAAGATTTTACTTTTAGAAAAGAGACAGTTAATAATGAGTTGAGTTGGATTCATTATTATATAATAATGCTTAAGCTATTATTGATTTGCTTCCAAATTCTAAGACAATTAGATGTAAATGAATTTTTTTGAAGAAAATATAATAATAATAGGTCAATTCAAACTTTTCAAACATCATTAGTGGTTTATGGATATAAATAAAAAAAACAAAGAATAAACTATTTTGATACATATGCTTTGATGGCTCTTATGACATTTATAAAAATATTTTTAGTTTTATCATCATTATATAATTTATATGTATATCAAATGGTTGTCAAAACAACTTTTTTCAATGGTAAATTAGAGGAAGAGGTCTATATGAAATAACTAAAGGCAGGGGTAGAACTAAAACGTAAAATTAAGAGGGGTCTAGATTTAAGTTGTTTTAGGTTAGAAAAAAATTCCTTACATGGATCGAGGCCTTTGCTAGCTCCCTGTCTCAGCCCCTTACTAGAGGGCTTTACTCTACTAGAAAATAAATATAAAATCTGTAAATTGATTAGATGTCTATATGGATTAAAACAAGCTCTTAAACAATGACATGAAAAATTTAATTCTGTAATTTTAGAATATGGTTTTAAACATGTTAGTGCTAATAAATGTATTATTTTAAATTTATAAATGATTTTGGTTTGATAATATATCTTTATATGAATATCATCTTTATTATTAGTACTAACATGAATAGTGTCTATGATATGAAGAAATATCTAACTTTAAAGTTTAAAATGAAGAGTTTAAATTAGGTAAATACAATTTTAGATATCAAAGTAAGAAAAATTGTGAGGGTTTTTCTCTTTTTCAATCTTATTATACTGTGAAAGTTTTAAATAAATTTAATCATTTGAATATCAAAAGAAGCAAATATTCTATATGATATTTTTTTTAAATTAAAAGAATATATTAATAGATCTATTGTCTAAATTGAATTTAATAGTGCAATTGATAACATAATATATGTCATGTACTATACTACACCTGATATTGCTTTCACAAGCTCAAATTGATTATGCTAGTGAAATTGATATTTAATGTATGTCATGTACTGTACTGCACTTAATATTACTTTCACAAGCTCAAATTGAATATGCTAGTGTAATTGGTACTTAATGTATGTCATGTACTGTACTATACCTGATATGACTTTCATAACATGTAAATTATCCATGTATACAAGTAATCTTAGATATGGATAACTGGAAAGCAATTGTAAGAGTATTTGGTTACTTGAAAAGGACTATAAATTTAGATTATTTTATAATAATTTTTTAACTGTACTTAAAGGTTATATTGATATTAATTAGATAACTAATACAAATGATAATAAGTCAGCTTTGGATGAATATTGATTCTAGAAGGTGGTGTTATTTATTGGGTTTCAAGGAAATAAACATGCATAACTTAGTTTACAATAAAATTTGAATTCATAGCTTTAACAACCATTGCTAATAAAAAAGTAAAATTGTTAAAAAATATGTCATTGAATATAAGTTGTGATCATAACCAATGTCATCTATCTTTTTACATTGTGATTATTAAGCAATTATGTCTAGGGTATTTAGTAAAACTTATAATGAAAAATTTAGATATATTAGCCTGAAACATGAATACATAAGATAATTAATTTATTGCTCGATAATTACCATTATATATGTCATTATACATGTCAGATATTGCAATAATCTAGCAAATTCTTTTATTAAAGATCTCTCACAGGATTTAGTTAGAAATATTTCTACTAACATGAGCTTAATACCATTTAAATAAATTTTCTAATAAAATAAACTTAACTTTTACTAGTTTTTTTTGTTAGTTAGGAGTTTCATGGATAATAATAAATTATTAGCAAGAGAGATATGTACTAATTTATATATAAAATCAAGATTTATAAAATTAGTATTCAAATTAAATATGTAATTTTTTTTTTCATCTACATAAATATAGAAAGTGGTGCTACTTCAATAAAAGTATGGAAAACTTTGTAAATGTTCATGCATTCAAAAAATAGCACAATGCCATATTATAGCTAAAATAATAGTAAATTTTTGTTTTGGATTAATTGGATAGTGTGTAAAATTTTGATTTAAGTTTTTTTTGCTAACATAATTTCTTTAGAATTTTGAAATACTTATATTGAAAAAAGGTTTAATTTAAAAAATATCTTTTTTTTATACATGAAACATGGTATGGATTATTATTGTAAAATAGCTTGTACAATAAATAGCTAAACAAAGAGAATTTTATTCTATATTGAAAAGGTAAGAGGTTGTGTTGTAACTTATAATGTTAGGGACACCAAGTCAATAAACTTGGACGTGAAAGGGAAAACCAAATATATATATATATATATATATATATATATATCAATTAAAAAATTATATTTTTTTATAAATTCTTTGTTTATGTTTATCACAAGCAAAACATAAATTCTTAAAACACTTATAGAAATTATTGTTTATAAATTAAAAATTATTCCATCCTAAAAATATATTGCTATAACTCTATAATAAATATATTAAGTACAATTAATACCTTAAAAAACATTATATCTCAAATAAAATCTATTTGTTATATCAAAATAGCTGCTAGTATGCTATAAACATTCTGACATGGAGATGATATATGAATTTTTTTTTTATCATTAATATAAATAATTATATCAGCTTATATATAATTTAATTAATTTTATAAATTTTAAAATTAATAAATATATAAACCTCTTATAATTCTAAAAAAAAATTAAACATGTCACTATTAAAAAATAAACCTACGGTTGAATAACATAATGCGCGCGCTCTTATTCCATTTATATGCGCATTCATCTACGCATGCTGGCGCTATAGATTGGTCACCGTGTATACGCGCACGTGTCATATTTAGAATATTCATAGCATCGCGTGGAAAGAAAGAAAATGGTAGGGAGTAATTCTATCTTTAAAATAGCATGGTAAAAACAAAATATTGAAAAAAAAAATGCATTTGAATTTTAAAAATTTAATTAAAAATAGCATAATTTATAAAGCCTCAACAACAACAACACGTGAATGATTTAAAAAATATTAATTTAAAAAATAAATATCAGCTATTACTTTTATAATTTTTGAGATAAAAGTAATATTTATTTATTTTAAAAAGATAATACTTTTAAAAAAAATCTTACAATTGAGAATTTATTTTGTAAAAATATTACAATTCTCATTTGAAAATCAAGTTTATAAGTTTTTTAGGACGTTTTCCTATTAAGAAGGGTTAACCGGTTTTTTCAATAAATAAAAAACAAAAAATAGGATATTACAGCAGAATATGCTCTATCTTATTCTACAAACTCTATATATTTTGTTTGTATGAAAACAAAAACTCAATAATCGGTGCTTAAAGTCAAAAGGCATTGAGAAATTTATTATGTCTGTCGATCCACTCAAGCCTGCGGATTGTTCCTTTTTGGTCAGCGGTTCCATCATTTCCTTCAAATTTGAAGCAAATATTTATAATTAAATAATAATAATAATAATGAGGAAGAGTGAAGAGTCCTCCCAATGATAGGACATGACATCACTTTATGACAACTTTTTTTTTAAGCAATTATCACCATGGAATGTGAGATTTTTTTTTAAGTTATTACACGGATATTATCATACTTTTTTTTTTTTGTTATTACACGGATATTATCATACTTTTTTAAAAAAAAAAATATAGTTTTATTTAAATTTCATAACTAGTTTTTTTAATAAATATATTTTTAAAAAATTATATTTTTATTTTTATCTTATAAAAATAAAATTATGCTACACCAACACTTTATTAATTATATATAATTTATATAATTAATAAAATCTTGATTTACCTGTTAAGATACTAATCTTATATCTTATTTAATATTTTATTAAATTTTAATGTGATTATATTAACATAATGGGTTTTACAAATTTTTTTATTTTAAAATTTTATATTTTATTATAAATGTGATAAATATTAAAATATAGAAATAAATGAAAAAATCCATTCTTCTTCTTGATTAACTATTTTTTTTTAATATTAGTATAACAAAAGTTCTTTAAATAAGAGTTTATATATAAAAAAAAAATTCTTTTTACAATATGTGACAAAGATTAAAGATATAAAAAATACAGGTATGAACAAAAGTTTTATGAATTGCTTCATTTAGAAGGGTCTCTTCTTTTAATATTATTAACGATGGCAAAAATAACACAAGTTTTATGAATATATAATGCAAAAACAAAGGATCTCTTTCTAATAAATTTTGATAAGTTTTTATTAATTCTCAGCTTCTAATTTTTTACTTTTAGTAACATATTTTAACCATTTTTATAGTTTTAACGATCAAAATAGAGTGTCAAAAAGATTGTATATAGATTGGCGGTTATTTTAGAAGTTTATTTTATATTATTTAAGGTTTTACAAGCTCTATAAATATTAACCTTCTTTTAGGAATTATATTAAGAAGCTCTATAAATAGACATATAATAAACCAAACGATATTAACCTTCTTTTAGGAATTATATTAATGTTTTAATTTCTCATTTAATTAGAGATAGTGTTGAATGTATAACATATATATTTTATAGTATGATATTAAAAATAATAATGTATATCTTCCTTTTATATATAATAAAAGTCTTCAATCTTAGCGTATAGAATAATTTTAAGGTAAGATAATATATCTGATATTTATTATTAAAGTTTTCTTACTACGAGTACAAAAATTCTAAAGATTTAAAGATGTTCTTATGAAAATATATATTTTAACACACAATTCATGCTTTTATATATAGTATATAATGATAGTTAAAGGTTGAATGGCATTTTGATTACATAAAACTTAAATAAGTTTTCAAGATTTTTAAGGGAAAGGGCGAGTTTGAAATTTTTTTAGGGTTGTTAATGTTATTTTATACGTGAATGTAAATTTATCTTTTCGATCAAATTAATTGTATTTCTTTTTTTAAAAAATAGATATAAGTTGAAAAATGACCAAATTATAGGTAATTTAGGGTAATTTTTCCAAAAATAAAAATTCTAATCACATTAAAGTTGTGTTTATTTTATAAAAAATATTTTCTTAAAAAAATAAGTTATTTCATATTACTTGAGTGTATCCTGAAAAAAAATTAATGAATAAATTATTTTTTTTATTAATAGTTATATCAGAATAATAAATAAAAAGGAAAAAATAGAGGGGTAATAATGACAATGGTGTGATAAGTTGTGATTACGATAGTGACAAGACTATATATATATATATATATATATATATATATTATCTCCAAGTTTACAAGTAAATTCATTGGAAAATTCTTTTTTTAGGAAAAAAAATCGGAAGTCAATAGATTAAAATTTAAAATTGATGACCCTCAAGAAAGGCCAATGAATTTATCATTAACAAATTCATAAAAAGTACGGCTAAGAATCATTCTCCTAAAATATCTTTGTTTTGATTTAAAGAATGTATTTATGAATACACACAAATGTTACAATACAAAGCCCGACATCCCTATTATTCTCCAAACAAGACACCCAATTTTTATATATATATATATATATATAATACATGCATAACAAGCAAACTGGCCATTTTCCTGACACGTGTTTCCTTGTCATTGCCCCACCTACCGTCTCGAATTTATTTAATTAACCCAAAAAAAGGTAATAAGACTCTATACAGCTACAAACTATAATAATACTATAGATGAGCAGTAAAGTACGCGCCGGCACCTTGCGTCACCAAGTCAACAAACACTCGATCGTTATCCTGCACAGCCCGGCGCAAATTAGCATCAATTATGCCCTCACTCACAGCTCCTCCTCTCTCTCAAGCCATAACCACCACGTCTTTACTGTCCGAGGTATCCATAGCCATCGGCTGACCAGAGGCGGACACGGAGGCGTAACGGGAGGAGAAATCGCGAAACCCACCGTAATCATCCATTTCATCGAAATTCCCCTTCTGTCCTCCCGGCCCTTCATCGAAATTCAGCGAGTAACTTAAAGGATCATACTGGAAGTTCCCATGGCGCCTTCCGTTACCACTGCCACTGCTCTTATTTCGATTCAATCTTCGAATGAAGGTTTTCCATTTAGGACCCGCAACGATCTCGGACCACTCTCTGATCTTCTTCAACGCTCTTATCCCCTTGAACCACCATTGATTTTGATTGGGACCATAGCCGTGTGACTGTGATGATGATTGGATTCGCTCCCAGAAGGATAATCCGACGGTGGAGGATCGTCGGGAAGAAAAGCAGGGAAAACAGAAGCAGCACCGCGTGTTTGTTAAGAGAGAATTCGACGTCGTTTCTTCTGGGATCGGTTCTGCCCCTTTAAAGGCCATCTGGATTGATCCAGTTCTCTCCTTCTCTCTCTCTCTCTCTCTCTCTCTCTTCATGAAAAGAGAGGTTTTTAAATGCGAGAAGAAAGGTGAAGAGAGGTAACGGAAGGATACTGGGAACTGACAGGTGCCAGTTAAGCAAGATTTCATTTATATATATATATATAATTTTTATTTAGGAGAATTTTAAGCGAGGTATAAATCTAGCCGTCGAAGCTCGAAGTTTAAAAGATGATTTTAGATAAGATATCAGATTTTAATCAATTTCATCCCTATAAGAAACTGCCTGTATGTTTAATCATGGCAACAATAACAACATACAAAGGATAAAACATCATATTTTAATCAATCTCATTTTTTTAAAGAGACTATGGTATGTTTAATTATAAATGGTAATAACAATAACAACATCAACAAAATTAAATTACATTTAATAATTTTATCATACTCTTTAAAAAATATTTTTTAAAAAATCATGTGAACAATTAGATTTGATTTTAGCATTAGAAGTAAAGTGAATAGATGTGCACTTCCACCAACTCAATACACTGTCATCTAGTTAAGGTATTAGCTTAGGATCGAACAAGTAATTTAAGAACAAACAAATACAATAATATTTTAAATACCTATTCTAAAAATAAATTTATTGAAAATTATACAGCCAACAAATCTTGTTTTTTTTATGAAAAGAATGAGTTAAAATATAATTTTATTTTAAGAATATTAATGATATAAAATATCTTTAATATATATATTAATAAGAGATAAATATCTCTTATATAAATATTAATATGATAAAAATATAATAACTCTTAAATAAATTTTTTACACTTAAAATGTAGAAATAATAAAATTTAAAATATAACTAAGCTTGTAGGGCTAAATTTTTCTTTTAAGCTGAGCTTATATTATTATATTATTTCTCTAAATTTAGCTCTAAATTTTTTTTTTTTAAGATTAATCCTATAAAAATTGAATTTTTTTAAAATTAAAGTTGTAATATTAATTTTTTTTAAAGAATGATATCATGAAGGATAGGCTTTTCTTTTCCTTTTAAATTGAGCTAATTGTTGGTTTTGTTAAGGCAATTGCTTGAGACCATAAGTTTTGAATTTTCAAGATTTTTTAGTTCTATTAAATTTGACTTTGTCACTGTATGCGGAATTAATTATTTGTTTATTAAATAATTTTTTTGATGAAAACAATTAAGGTAGTTTTGGCGTGAAAAGGGCAAAAAAAAGAAGAAAAAGGGTATGACATTTAATAGATTTAATTATTTATTTGAAAAAATATATTTCGTGCTATCTTGGACAAGAGATGATTTTTGTTCCCGGTGGCATGTGAAAAGAAAAAAACATTTTTTTGGATACAAAATTCGATAGTTTTTAATAATTGTGGAGCAATATTACTTTATTTTTAATATTAGTATAATAAATTATTTTGAATAAATTAAAAATATTATTTTAAAATAAAAAAATTTGAATACATTAAAAATATTATTTTAAAATAAAAAAATTAAATATTTTTAAAACATAAATATATTTGTAGTGGGCAGGGGGAGTAAGATATTATGGAGAATCACTCTGCTTAATGGTTGCGTGTGGGTATGGGCTACTTACTACTGGGTGCGGAAGGATTACTCGGAAGAGCCGTTGTGGATTGAGTCTTTGTGGCAATCAGGTCCTTTGCGAGGCGCAAGAGGTGCGTGGGGTCCAGATGAGGTGTCATGACGAGGAATGTTGATAGGAAAGGAAATCATGGAAGTGTGAGAGAGCAACAAGAGTCCAATTGATTTATCATGGCGGACCCACCACTGCATCTGCCAGCTTTATCGTCACCAGGACAGGACAATGGGATTATACCGCTCTTCATCATCTTTGCCTAATCCTCTTTGACACGAATTCTTTCTGTAAAATCAACGGCTTCATAAACAAAAACTCATTGTTTCTATAGTAATGATGGCCCACGGACCAATTTTTTTTTAAAAAAATATTTCTAATCATTACTAGATATTTTTCTAGATAATAGAATTTAAACAGTGTAAGAATTTATTTGATCCAATTTTAACGGGTGTAGAAATAACTTAACAAATGAGTAAAAATATAGTTTAATTAAAAATAAATATTTAATATGATTTTTTAATAAATATTAAATTAATAATTTATTAAATTAATTTAAATCAATTTAAAATAATTTATTAATTTGTATATTAAATTATAAGATCATAATAATTTTATAAAAAATAAATTATTATAAATTATAAATTTTAATTTTCAAAATAATAATTTCTGTCAGCCTACGTATCCCAAAACATATTTTACAAAATTAAATCCTAATTAATTTAATATATCTTAACTCAGAACAATTTACTTTTAATATAAAATATTACAATAAAAACTATCTTTATAACTAATAAATCAAAAATATTTTTCTCTACAAAGCTATATTTATTGTATTATTTCTTTTATTATTTATCATTCATTTTCATTGCATTAACTTAAATATTAAAAGGTACCTTATAGACATATATGAAACTCATTTTGTAGGTATTTTACACCCATTTAGATCAATCTTTTCTTTATTATCCCATCATTAATTGTGAGAAGTCCAATCCTTTATAAATTTTCATATAACCTTGTCAGTTATGAATTTTTATTATTCATGCTAATACTAAATTACTCTAACTTACCATGAAATATAGATAAGAGTAAGGATAGTTTTTTTACCTATTATAATCAACTATTATAATAATTCTAAATCAATAAAGCAAAAAGGTAAGCTATCTGGAATTTAAAAATCATAAAGAAATAATTTATACTTATCATCAAGGTTTGTAGATTATGCTTGCATTGCTTGGATTTTTTTTTAATATCATCTGAAAAGAAAGATTAATTCGTTTAAATTTGGTTTTGTTTATTTATTTTTATAATACAATTAGCTAAGGCTGTAGAATAAGTATTTAAAGAAAGCCAGATAATATTTTTTTGCTTACCCCGTAACAATAATTTCAATACAAGTCTCATTTTTTTTTGAAGAAAACAAATCTACTCTCACAAGTTCATTATTTTAACCTTATGCTTTATCCTTGTTTAGATGTTTTCTTTATTATTTTCTTCACATGCTTTATTTACAAGCTTTAATTATATGTACTACTTTTTTTTATCATGCAATTTAATGTATTTTTTTCATCTATTATAAAGAACATAAATCAAAATTTAGTTTCACTATTTCTTTTATTGTGGTCATAAAGACAATTTCTCTATAGATTGTTACACTTCAATTGTTTTTATCCTTTTTTTATTAAAAAATTATTCATTTACCATCACTTAAATGTTTTCTTTTTAATTTTATCCTCCTATGTTATGTTAATATGGTTTTAAGTTGTATAATTAGTTTTGATTTGTATGTTATAAACATATTCATGGTTACAAGAAACTTCTCAATATTAAACTAAAGGCCAATATTATAGAATAGAATTTAAGTTAATAATCTTAAACAATTGAAATAACAAGAACCAAAGTTAACACTAAAAAAGCTTTTTTTTCACTATTTATAAGGCACCTAAAAACTATAGTTGGGTCCCTAAAGTTTTTTATTCTTATGTTTGATCCTCCTATAACTTTTGGTTGCTAGAATTTCAACCAAAGACTATGTGTTATTTTTCTAAATGGGATGATATGTCTCACACAATCTTATGTTTGTTTTATATCAAAATTGCTCCTATATTTTTATCAATTCGATAAATAAGCTCATATAAAAAATCAATAATAAAAAACTGTCCTATGTTTATAAAACTTAATCCATTCAACCTAATTAAACTAAATTCCAATATATTGTAAGATAACTAGCAATTAAAATTTTGGACAAGCTTATTATACAAGTCCAAATAAAAATACCTTTATTTTTTTTCAAATAAAAAGTCCAAGATTAAAAAATATATATTTTTTAAAAATAATATGTTATATACATACATACATATATACATACATACATATACATATATATATACTGGTATCAGAGTCTATTAGGGTCTAAATAGAATTAATACTGGTATCAAAGTCTATTAGGGTCTAAATAGAATTAATATTATAAAAAATAGTTTTCTCAGAGAATATAAAGATCATTAGAAATAGGTAAATGCAACTGAATGGTGTAAGTCCCATTGAAATTCTAGGACAATAAATCCATATAATCTGCAGTCTCTTTCCTAGATTATCTTTCTTTTTAATGAATTTTGTTTTCCATATAACTACCTCTATTTCTATCTCCTCTACTTCTGACTCTTTTAAAAGCAGGAAAATTGTACAAAGTGAAGAAATAACTATTGAAAACTTTACAAAAAACATTGATGACTGAAAAATCCCAAAAATTTCTCAAACCCAGATTTACCAAAAATCTAAATATGATATTTTCAAAACAAATTTCACTATTAAAACTGAAGAACGAGATATTCAGCTCACAAAACCCTTTGAAACCATACAACCACTCTCTCATAAGTCCACCACCAGAAATCCCCCCACCACCTCAACCCAATGTCCAAATCAAAAACATTACCCAATTTACTGATGGAAAAGTCAAACTATCTTTTCATCGCCACTCTACAAGTTCCAGATTCTCATAAGCCTCTTCCTTTTCTAGTACAATAGATCTAGAAAGAATCTCAAAAATCCCTTCGGTCATTAACATCCCTTATCACGAAAACCCTCCATGAAAGTCTACATTAGATATCCCTTCTCCTAGCTTACAAATATACCAAAACCTATCTATACAAACCTTGAACAACCATCTCCTCCAACTTCACCAACTTTTTAGCCATTACTGAGAATATCCAAAATGAGTTGAATGTCTTGACTTAGGAAACACATTTTGTTCTTGACAAAAATCTCTTCAAACAAGATTTTTATTCAAACTCTAACTCAGAAAAACGAGCTTGGTTTTTTCAGCACTTTCTTCAGCATAAAGGTGAAATCCAAAACTTATTTTATAATTTCATTACAATACACCAAGTACAGATTCTATTCTTTGATTGGTTCCAATTGTATTATGCATCTAAAAATCACATAGCATAGCCTTTTACATCCATTAAACATGTATGCCCAGTCACATGTAGATCAAAAAC